TTCTTTCATTTCCCAGATTCTGGACTTTATCTATTGACCGGTTTTGATATTTATTTTGATCTATTTTGAATTGCGTGACACTGAAAACCAGCAATTGGCCAAGTGTATTTTGCGCGAGTAATCGTCCAGAAAAGTATTAAGAAGTTCGTCTTTGAATTCTGTTTAAACTGAGTTCAAAGTTTAATAGAAGGCCAAATATTTTTTGTGATGTTCAAATCTATTTTTTTAAGTCGGCCAACAAAAGACAAAATGGTAGTTTACAAAATTACAAGAGTAGAGAAGGTTGAAAAGGCATTTTGCGCCATGTTTGAACATTATAAAAAAGGGCGGGAAAAACTGCACACTGTTCTATTGGGGAACGTCATACCTCCAGAGGCCTGGAGTCGATTTGTAACAAATGTCCACAACGTTAACCTCCACTACATTGACCAAGGTGAAAGAAGACGGAGTAGATGTTTATCAGTAATCAGTTCAAGCAGCATAGGTGTGATATGACATTCTCGAAGGTGTCTAGATAACCCTGCTTAGTTTGTTTGCCAGCGTCGTCGCCGGTTCTTGTGACTGAGGCCGGTTTTCTTGTTAAGCCATATTCAATAATGTGGACCGTTCATTTCCAGCTCAAAGATAAAGCATTTGAAACCAATTATAAAGATTACGCATATAAAGATTGCATCGACAGGTCAATATGAGTCACTGCCAAGCATAGGTTATAGTTCTGTTCTTATTTGATGACAACTTCGATAGACGTTTTTCAGCGTGTATCAGAATTCTAACTTGGATGGGCTTGAGGGCGTAAAACAACTGAAATCAATTAACTGTCTCAATATTATTTATTTTCTAATTTTCATTTAACAGGCCAAGTTTGGTAGTTAGCAAAAACATGTAAAACAAGACTGTAGTAGCTATATGTCCTAATGGGACCTTCAAATATTCTTAATTGATTCACTTTAATGACAATGCCACAATTTGTATGACAGAATTCAAAACTTCTCAAAATGCTCCATTCCGCATGTAATTTCTTCTTGTTACCACCATTAATCTCTTAAGAAATTCTGGGTAAAGAATATTAATTTTGTATGACTGACTGAAGTGCCCGACAGTCATTGTTCACATATAAACAAACTCCATACTTTGAACCATCGCTAGCGTGAGTGAAAATAAAGAAAAAAACTTGGCTATAGTCGGTAGCACCTTGTTTGTGTGTTTTGTAATTCAATTTATTGACCGCAGCAAACAATAATTCTATTGAACTAATCGGATTCCAAAGAGATTTTGGTTGGATTAGATGACACTGCACGATAATTTGTAAGGGGTTTTGCTATTTTAGTTCTGTTTATTGGTGTGTTTTGTTGTCTTGACCTGGAATGAAGTGCCTCAAGGCAAAAACGTACTGTGAGAAAATCGGAAACTGGAGTCAAGTAATTGTCCGTCTCGAGTGTAATCCCTGAATGGGGCCGACTGTGACAAGTTATCGAAGCAATTACATTACTTCCAGATCGTATTAAAACAGTTTACTCATTTTAGGAACGATCTGTGTGAATTTAAAGATGGCAGATGTCTCCAAGGGATGCTCTTGCACTGAAATACGGTCTTTTGTTTTCACTGCCATCGACGACAGCAAGCGGTTAAGGAATTCTGCTTGATATAACCGATTTACATTTGAGTATTTTTGAGACTAGCTTTCACAGGTACAAGGTGCACTTAATTTAACAAAATGTGCTCAAGAATTTTATTCTTGTGAAAAGCTTAAACCATCACTTATATAAATCTTAATAATGAATAGCAAACCACCTGAATTCCTCCATAATTTCATTATACTATCCACCATACGTAAAAGATAATTTTTATGCTATACATCTGTTCTAGAAAACACTCTAATTGAAGTGTGCTGTAATGCCTACGTGAGAGTTTAAAATACCTAGCATCGTTGTATGACCCACACCCTTCAAATACTCTTTGCCCCTGTTTAATTGGATTATCTTGCACGATTACAACAAGCTATGTGAAATAATACCTGTTAAAAACACAGTTTCTAGTAGCTACTTTAATTGAAGTGTTAGTTTACTTAAAGTGCTACTTGTGCCCAATAAACATAGGCACTTGGCCTTAGCGAGGCAGTATACTTGGTCGGCTAATCCTACTTCAGTTAAGTCCATTATAGCGTCGGAAGAGCTCAATAAAAAATTATTAGAAAAATGTCAAAATGTTGTTTTGTCAGCCACGACATGTACTTAATTACAAATGAAGTATTTTGATTAAAGGGCAGTAATAGGAAAACCTTGTTTTCATACCGCAAACTCTTGCCGAGTCAAAGACATAAGCCATGCGCAATCAAACCTTTGCAAGGGATATGGAAAGATTCCAAGGTTACTGGCTCGGTAGGGACTTCCATTAGTATGATCAATTGTTCCGACTGAAAATTCAAATGAAACAGTTCTCTGGACAATAAAATTTTCTGGGAAAAAATAATAAAATAATGTACGGTTGTACTATTTTTTGGATTTTGGATATTGACTTAGAGATGTAAATTAACCGCCATCGAGCTCAATATAAAATGCTAACGTTTTAAACTTTAAGCCACAACAAATACAAATCTGTTTAACATTATGAAATGTTCTATTTTCAGATAACCCAGCTCAAGATTGCCAGCAACCCTTTTGCTAAAGGCTTCCGGGACTGCGACCCCGATGACTGGTGGGTATTTTCATCGGTCTCGTCCTCAGAACGATCACAAGGCTGGCTAAAAACGAAACAACAATCTCATAAGAAATAACTATTTTCTCCCCTGATTAGTGTAATGGAAGTCATGAAGCAACTTGACCAAGGAGAAATAGCAGCGACAGCTCGTGCCAGGTTACATGGAGACATGGTAGCTCAGAGAAACGAGGTCCAAGTACCTCGTCCTCAGGCCCCCCGGCCAGTGCCTCCTGCTATGAATCCAGCTTTTTCGTATCCTGGTGAGGAATTTTTTCAGAACAAGTCTAACAAAACATCTCGCTTTATTCATTTCATAGTTGTAAAATTACCTTAATCTTCAAACAGAGCGCGAACAAGCCCAAGGGTACTTTACTTAAGATAGCCAGGCATTACGTTCTTTGAATTGGGAATAATAGACCAATTTCGATGTATTAAAGTTCAGCCTAAAACAATAGACCTCAGCACGGGGCTCTGGGGAATAGCTACCGAGTTTGTGGGGTTTATTCTCCAGAGGCTCGTGTTGAGGTGTATTGTTTTAGGCTGAGTTTTAATATATCGAAATTGGTCTATTGAAAAAATACTGACTTTGTTTTGCAACTATAAGCCAACGGCTTCTGCTAAGAGTTTAACGATTTCTGAATCAGATATGCAGAGAGTTTATTCTAAAATTATCCAACGAATTGTTAATTATTCCCCAGTTGAACACAAGAAGGAGAAGAAGGCGCCGTATAATACCGTCCCCATCTTGCTTAACAATCTTGAGGCTTTTTGACTAAAAAGCTGTGGCTAAATCAATTCTAAGAATCGAAATTCGGGCTAGAAAAGTGCTTTGTTTTCCTAGAAATAATACTCATGGATGCTGAAGGGACTTTCCTTATTCTTAATTATATTTATATCAGGTCCGTATGAAAACAGAGGAACTCCGCTGACCCACGTTCCCAGAAGCCTTCCTAATTCTTCGCCGCCAGGAGGATACCTTCCCATGATGCCCCAAATGATGGGACACGTGGGACCTAGTCCGATGTCGCCGACATCTCCGACCAGCCCTGGATATGGTCAGCGTACTTACCAATCTCTGCGCATGCACAGGGCAATGCCATATCCCACAAGGCAAAGCAGGTCTTCTTCTAGCGATGAAAGTATCCAATAGTAAATGCACTAGTAATTTAAAAATTGGATTGAAACTGGATTTTACGAAGAGAACTTTTCAAAGTAGAAGTTTCTCAGACGATTGTTTTTGTACATATACAAATTTAATAAAGAATTTGTTTTCAATTTAGAATCTTTCTCAATTACTGGGTTGTATTTTTTTTTTTTTTTTCACGTGCGACAAAGTCACTAACTAATCTAAAATGTAGTAATCAGTTGGAAAGGTATTTAGCTTTTTTAACTCTACATTTCCTCTATTTATTTAAGCTCCTTTTTCAAACTACGCCTTTTGATTTTGTTCTCATTTGGCCTTTAGTATTACTTTAAATACAGTTTGAAATAAAAGCCCAACTATATATATCTGAATGATTTTGTTGTTAATAATAATACCGAGCTTACGAACAGACCCTTTTGAGTCATCGACGACAAAAGGAAATGAAATGCTCTCTATGTGCATTTCTTTGCCGCGTATTTTCGACTTTAGAGTCAAAACGTCAGGTTTTAAACGTTAGAACGCACGAAATATTTCAAGTGGATAACTACGCTTGTAAACACCATTGCAACTGTTGAAATGATCGATAATTATCATTGTTCAATAAGGATTCACTGTTTCAGAACGGTTGGTTGAGTTTTTTTCGTGTTCTTTTCAGAAATACCGTTTAGTCTGGCTGACAGGGTAGCGGAACTTGGGTGCAAGGAAACGCGTCCGATTAGAAATGAGCTGCTGACTCAAATTAATAAAGCCCCAGTGTCGTTTGTAAAATGTAACTGACTGGATAGCTCTGCAGGCTTGCTTAGTCGACTCGGGCAGTTATCCCGAACTTCAATGAAATTCAAGGTTTTAAGATTTTCGCATACACTTGTTTGTTACAAGCATGAGGCAGCCTCACGATGCTGTTTTAGTTACTCAGCCAGTTCCCAGGATGCTGTGCGCACCAAGCCAGTAACTGCTTCTGAATGGCCCATCGCCTTTGGACGAGTTTGGACTGGGTCGGACTCGGGATAGAGTGCTTGATAAGTCAGGCGCTTCGCGAACTTTGATTGACGAAACTAATTGAAATAGCGGTTATCACACAAAACAAACGCACATCTACTCTAAACTACACTGGAAAACACAGGGTAAGTCTACTTAAGCTATTTTATTTCAATTTTGCAAACAGAATGAGCCGCTCTTTAGAACGATGTTTCTGTTCCATACATTTCTTTGTAGAAAATCCAGAATAACGAACAGAAATGTCACACAACACCACCTTTTATCACGAGAGTCACGTTTCACACTCTGGCTAATGATCAGAAAAACTGATTATACGATGGAAGTGAAATAAGAAAAAAAGTAATGCATAGCTAGATCCGAACCACATTCGTTTTATTTGTTTAACCTCTCCAACGCAGAGTAAGACTGGAAAGAGTTGGCCGGACTGAAATAAATAGGTACCAGTCTCCTTATTCGGCCGCGCGGTCACCACCTACCACAGAAGCCGGACAGGAACCAGAAAACACCATTCTCTATTTTCCAATTGCCCATAATGCACCATGTTTGCCCCCCAAATTTTGCATAAACTATTGTTGTGAAATGCTCTTGGGAATATGTAGACCTCCCAAGAAAACTGGAAAAGAGACTATACACTCTAATGGAAAATGGCACGTGCTTCATATCTTTTTGGTTCATTTACGCACATATATATAGCAATCAATTTCATCAATGAAGGCGTTAAGAAGGCGAAATTGTTTGACTCTTTCACGAGCTGCTAACCTGTAGAACAAGCGGCTTAGCGGGATATAGTGCGATCGCGATACACGCACGCGAAGCGCGAGGACGCGCGCGGAGTACGAGTAAACTGCAAAACTGATTGCGTGCATGTTAGATGTTAGACCGTAATCACAACAGCAAACTGTCTATCGTTTATTTTTACACCTATGTTCCAGTCTCGTTTAGCCTTTCATCTCTCTTTTCTTTCAATCTCGTCATGAGTTTCTTCGTATTCTCGGTTCGTTCCCCTTCCTCCATTCCGTCCCAGTCGTCGGCTTCAAGTTCCCGACCAAATAGTTCAATCTCGGCGTCTTTGTACTCTTGAGAGTTTGTATCTAAAGAGTCTCTAGTCTTTGCGTCAAGGTTTCTTCGCTGTTCCTCTGGGCCGTGAGCCACTGTAACAAAGCAAATTCAGATTTCAATGCAAACTCAATGACTGTCGCGGGATCCAACGGGATGACGCATGCGGGTTGTCCTAGTCCGCGTGTGCGGTTTCATTGCGCGGTTATATTGCGCCACAGGAGGCTAAAAAACGCAAGCCTTACAATTTTTATAAATGGATAATGCGTAAAACACCATCAACATTATTTTTATACACACGTAGTTTTCAGCCTCAAACCGTACTTGGACATTTGCGTGTCCTTTCAACTACTCAATACTCGGTACTTTTGCTTTATGTCAAAAGAAAAGTCCCCTCATTTTCTCTTGTTTATGTTTATAGATGTTTTCAGTCAGTAGTTTTTTGTCAACTTACGAAAAAAAACCAAGCTTTACAACAATGAACTAAGCATCGACAGGGTTTAATACAAAAGTCATCCAAATAAAGTCTTCAGGAGCAGGCTAAGGGACCGTTCATTTTTTATCAGGTAGGGGGGGCTGGTGGGATTTGGGGGGGGGGGCATGCGAAAAAAATGGCTTTCGAGGGGGGGCCATCCCA